TCTCAAGAATGACAGAGCCATAATTCATCATATTTATATGGAAGCATGCTCAGGTAGTGTAGATTCAAATTTGTTCAAATCATGACCCCCAGGGGTAGGGCGGGGCCAAAATGGCGGACCAAAGTTTTTAAAGATATGTATAGGAAAATTCTTTAAAAAAAACATTTTCTAAAAAATAGCAAATCCATGATTGGTCATGGGACTAGTTTTGGATTTAAACTTTACAATAAAAAGCCATTTTCTATTTTTTCCTACCCTTAGTGCTCAGGTGAACGATGTGGCCCATGGGCCTCTTGTTTTGTTTTGTTGTTGTTCTTTTTTTTTTTTTTTTGTTTTTTGCTTTTCATGTATCTCTTAGTGTTGTAAGTACTCTTTATTATTTTCTTTATATATTGTATTTTCCCCCCAAATTTGTGTTTTAAGTTTTAAGTAGCATAAATAGGCCTGATGGGCCGGGCGTTAATTGTTATATTTTATACTATTTGTAAATATAAATCTATACATATAGGCCTACACATGTCACTATGAATAAACTATTCTTTTTACTTACTCACATCTCCTTGGGAAAAATCACAGATTAATTTAACTCTAATTCCGCTTAAAATTACTGAGTTTGAACTAAACTATTTAAAATGCCTGGGATCTTCTTCTCTCTTCTTAGCATGTTTTTCTGCACTTTTGTTTGTTTTTTGTTTGTTTTATATCATTACAAATGCATCAAATTCTTTTGATATAAAATAATTAGACACAAAATGACTACCGGGCTGAGTGAAATTAGTCGGTTTAAGAGCTAAAAAGAACTCACGTTTATTGTAATACTATGTAGAAAAAGCTGACTATGTAAAAAAAAAATTAAAAAAAAAAAATACTTACTTAACTTACTTAATGCATGAAATCTGTAGAAAAAACATAACATAAATGAAACAGTAATGTGGTATGGTAAACAAAAAAACCATATCAGAATTATTTTTTTTGTGACGGGGGTCTTCTTCTTCTTCTTCCAATAAAGTACTAATCAGAGATACTGATATTTCGTACTGGCGCGTGGTGGTGCAAGGAAAACAAGGTGAATTTAAAATAAATATATTTACAGTGCAGTTAAAAATAGATTGGCTGTATTTACGGTCTGGTGATGTGGCTAGATAGCTTCGATTTGAAGCTATCTAGGGAGGTGGAAGTAACCAGGGAAGCTGGAAGAGAGTTCCACACACGAATACCATCCGGAAAGAATGATTTTTGGTATACTAAGGTTCTGGCGTAAGGAATCAGGAACATCATGCTGTTTCCCCTGGTTGTAGTGGATGGATACAGGAGGAGAGTTGAAATGTCGATAAGCTGGTACACTCTGCGGTACATCATAACAGCTTTAGCTTGACCACGTCGTTCCTGGAGAGATGTCCATCTCGGTTGTTTAAGCATGTCTGTTACGCTACTAGATGTTCTGTAGTTGGATGTTACCATGCGGGCAGCTCGTCTTTGGACCATCTCCAGTTTGCCAATACTGTCACTGGTGTAGGGATCCCAGATGGTACTCCCATATTCCAAGATGGGCCTCACTAAGGTCTGATAGCATAGGGCCTTTGTTTCTGATGGACACTGGTGTAAGTTGCGTCTCAGGAAGGCGACGGTGGAATTTGCCTTCTTTGCAATGGTGTCAATGTGGTGGTTCCACTTCAAGCCTTGATGAAGGTGGACTCCCAGGTATTTAGCTGTTTCAACTACCTCGAGGACATGACCGTGGATGACATATGGTACGTTTACCACCCTCCTTTTGTTGGTAACGTGTAAAACCTGACATTTTCCAGGATGAAATTCCATCATCCATTCTTTCTCCCATTTCTGAAGTCCATCTAGATCTTTCTGGAGCTGTGTAGCATCATCCTCATTTTTGATGTCTCTATATAAGGCGCAGTCATCTGCAAATAGGCGGACCGTTGAATTTTTGGATACATGGTCTGGTAGGTCATTAATGAAAAGAAGGAATAGGAGTGGTCCAAGGACACTCCCCTGTGGTACTCCAGATTTTACAGCAGCTGTACCTGATGTTCTTCCCTCTAATAGAACCTGTTGGATGCGTCCATTTAGGAAGTCCTCTATCCATTGCAGATGGCAGCCTCTAATCCCGTAATAGCTCAACTTATACAGGAGGCGTTTGTGGGGGACCTTGTCGAAAGCCTTCGAGAAATCTAGCAGTATGACATCTGTCTGTCCCTTGTTGTCTATGTTTTTAGCCAGATCCTGTACTGTTAATATAAGTTGGCTTTCACAGGAGCGGCGTTTCCTGAATCCGTGTTGAGCGTCATGCAAGATCTTGTGGGTATCTAGGTGGTCCATGATGTTACTGACCATGATATGTTCGAGGAGTTTACATGTGATTGAAGTCAAGGACACTGGTCTGTAGTTCTCTGCTTTGTCTTTGTCCCCTTTCTTGTATATTGGCACTACATTTGCAGACTTCCAGTCAGCTGGTATTGTACCCTGGTTTACTGATGCCTGGAAGAGTAGTTGGAATACTGGGGCTATCTCGTCTGCAAACTCCCTCAGTAATCTGCATGGGACATTATCGGGACCAGTGGCCTTGTAGTTCTTAGGTTTTAGGCCGGCAAGGAGTTTCCTAATTCCACCAGTACTGATGTTGATTGCATTCATGTCCTGGAATGGTGAAGGACCCTTATCAGGAATGTTGTCGATTTTCTCCTCTTGGATGAAAACTGAGGAGAATTGCCCATTCAAGATATTCGCTTTCTTCTCACTGTCTGATATTAGTACTCCATGCTTATCCTTGAGTGATGAAACTCCTGATGCCTCGGTTCTTTTCCCTTTAATGAAGCTCCAAAACCGCTTAGGGTTTGAGGTTGCATCTGGGCTGATGATGTTCTTGATATAATCATTATAAGCACTCTGGCAGGGGTTTTTAGCCTCTTTCTTTAGTCTTTGATATCGTTCCTTATCTTTTCTCTTCCCCGTCTTTCTAGCCTTTCTAAAGCTTCTGTTCTTCTGTCTAGTTATTCTCTTTACAGTCTTGTTGACCCAAGGTTGGCTGTAACGGGTGGAAGTAGAGGGGATGTGATCCTCCTTGATGGAAAGAAGGCTGGTTTTAATTGTATTCCACATCCTCTCAACTGAGCTGGACAAGCTGAACTCCTGGAGAAAACTATCAATGACAGGGTCCTCCCTGTCACTGGCACTAGTTAATAATGACGATTATTTTTATTTACATCGTTTATTTACATATTTACAACACAATATATATCTATAAGAAAGCACAATGTTCACCTTAAAAAGACACGTCCACACTCATTGACTTTTTGACTTGTTCTCCCTTTCTCTCACGTGTTCCCAGGGCATGACCATACCAAATCTCTTTTTCCCCACTTTCTCACACAAATCAACTTAATGCTCACTTTCATCTCTCAGAACTCTATCACGCACAAATACACAACGTTAACAGAAATGATAAATAAACAAATTATAAATTCTTCCTATCTCACTCTCTTTCTCTCTAAGAAGCTCAAATGGGACTCTAGGGAAACAGGGCTACAGCGCCTGCGCTGCGCACCTGCAACCTATCACTCACTCATTTACAATTAATTAACAAAATCGGGCTATTGCTCTGTGACATTTTATTTCGGTTTTACCCACTTCCTAAACTTTTATGTATTTTAAATCGGGGTCGAAATGATGATCCCGATGTTGACCGAAAACTATTTCGGCATAAGTCGCTTCGATTGATAAAACATCTCGGTAAATTCCGTCGAACCTTCAAATCATACTACCCATAGTCCTCTGCGTCTCCGCACACAGAGATTATTTGATATCTAACAAAAATCTGAAGACAATTTAAAAAAAAAAAGAACGCCTACCTACCTACCCAGTCTAAAAATTATAGGTCGGCAACTGCAAACAAAGATTTTTTTAAGCTTGGCCTATTTGTTATTTGTTTTAAGGGGTGAAGACTTTCGAAAGGACTTTGCTAGGATACAAGAATTGCTGGGCATTTTCCCTAGAGTACCCGTGTCCCTTTTTACAGCAACAGCATCACAATCGACAAAGGAAAAGCTGGTAAAAAACCTTGGTTTAAGGAATCCCACTTTTATTTCAAAGAATCCAGACAGACCCAACATCAAGTACTACAAATACCAACGACTACCCAGCATGCGACAAGAAGACGACCTTGACAAAATTTTAGGAGATATTGTGACAGGTCTACAAAAGGACAGAAGACATTATCCTCTCACTTTCATTTACACTGATCTGGAGTCAATTAGGTATGGCTATAGATTTTTGGAGAACAAGTTAGGGATTGAGTCTCCTGAGAACAGGTGTTATGCACAGTACCATACCCATTATCCAGAGAAAATGAAAAATTTTATCATAGGGGAACTGGGAAAATCTGATCCAATAATTAGAGTAGTTCTGGCAACGGTAGCCCTTGGCATAGGTCTGCATGCACCTGCCGTTCGAAAGGTCATTCATTTTAAATGTCCAACAAGCATCGAAAAATACTTGCAAGAAACCGGTCGTGCGGGGCGAGATGGGTTAGCTGCCGAAGCAGTTTTGTATGTTAATAAAACAGATGTCAGGATCAACAGACCTGGGATGCAACATTCCATGCGTCAATACTGCATAAGTACAGACACCTGTTTGCGTGTGCAGTTGTTAAAGCATCTAGATTTTAAACCAGATGTTGGAAACAAAAAATGCAAATGCTGTGATGTATGTGAAATTTTATGCTGTTGCTCAGACTGTGAATTGTAACATTGTGTCATAGCATTCCCAAGTGAGCACAACTTCATCATTATTTAAGTACATTCCCAGTATTACAGGACCTATTACCAGATCGCACTTCTTGTTACTACAATTGCACTGTAAAAGGATGGTGTGATCTATCCGCCTTGTAAACCTGTTCATGAAAGACCTTGACTTAGTGTCAGATGTAAAAATGAAACATTTGATTTTTATACGATTTTTAATACATGAAAAGAATTCAACTACTGGCGCACATTTGTTATGAAGTTTCAGTTGAAATATATTCTTTTACTACATATTATCTTCAATTAAATACATATAACAAAGAGGCCCACTGGCCACATTTCTCTCCTCAATCACATGGCCCTATTGTGTTTTCACATGTAAAGTTTTGATAACAGCGTGGGCCATTGCCATTCTACCTTTGAGGGTCATTTGAACAAACTTGAATCTACACTAATAAAACACTCTTGACAGTAAAATTCACTTATCATGGCTTTGCTAGCCTTGAGAAAAATTTAAAAGATTTTTCCTATAAACTTGAATCAACAATATTTGAGGATGTTTTCCCATAAATATGACTAATCATTGCTTTTCCAATTTCTTAAGATTCTTCCTATATATTTCTATGCTACACTGATTGCCCTTCAAGGCCCCACCTTACCCTGCAGGTCATGACATGAACATGACTTGAATCTACACTATAAATGAAGCTTCTACATGAGTTTCATTTTTTTTTTTCTATCTTAGCGGTTCCTGAGAAAAAGATGTTTAAAAGATGCTATTAAAATTCACTAGTTTTAAATTATCTCCCCTTAAAAAGTGTGTAGTCCAAAAGATACCTTATGGCGGTTGAAATCGGCAGAATTATTCTAAAGTGATAAAAATAGGAAAACATTAAGATAATGATTTCAACTAACAATTTTGATAAGAAAAGCTGTGACACTTGAGACTTTAGCTCAAGTGAGCTAAAATACATGAAACATCCAAACATATAACATTATTTTGACATAATACAAACAGCAATCATACACTGCAATCAGACACAATTTACCCCCCCCCCCCAACTCCCTTCTCATCCCCATACCTATTGTTGATTGTTACTGGTTGTAGTATTCAAGGTCAATGTTCTGACATCTTTTCAAGCGCTCAACTATTTTGAAAAGATGGGAGTTAAAATCTGAAGATATAGCTGAGAATGGATTTTTCCTGAAACCACTGTAAAAATTCATCTTGCGGTTATCAATCACACTAAATGGGTCTAATCGACTTAAAAGTTGGACTAGAAGTGTCACGTCTTCCAAATTGTCTTTTGTATTGTGTTTTCCACTCCTTGATACACACCCAATATTGTTCATATAATTTTCTACAGTTTCTGCCACAACAGGAGCTGCTGCAGATGCACGTTCCATGGCTTTTTTTGTTTTGTTAGCTCCTAAACCTTTTATAACATCTTTGAGAACAAGAATGTTATTTTCTTGTTGCATGTCAGCTGGCTTATTTCCTCCTTTCTTTCCATGTGGGTTAACAAAACTACCGAGTCTCACTCTCATAGCTGTGTGCTGTGGTAATAGAACTTCTGTTTTGAGGATATAATCTATGCACTCAACTGCATATTTGGATCGATCTGAATGACTGTAAAAGAAGGGAATCATTCTTTTTAAGTTAATGTTGGTCCTGAAAGGGTCTCCTTCTCGTATGCCATCCTGAAATTCACAAAAATGGATATACCACATCAGTAATTGTAAAGAGTAGTTCTGTATGTCATCTGTGGTTTCATGTGAATTAAATACTCTAAAAACTTCCCCAGATGGCAATTTCACATCAACATAGCCATTTTTGCACAGTTGTTCTCTGGGAATTATCACAGAACTACCACCAAATTCCAACTGCACTGGAGGTAAACATCCTGGGTTATGAAATTCCATGAATATTTCATTCACAATTTCTTGAACAACCTTCCAAAATAGAGGTTCTCTTGTTTTAATGTGTGTGTTTCTGATGTTTTCTGGCAGACTTAAATTTGGAATAACAGGAGCACTCTCTAAGCTGTCCATCGAAAATTTCTTCATACATAGCTGAATCAGTAGGGCCTCACCAACTGTGTGTAGGAAATCACTGTGTGCCTAAAAATATCGAAACCTCTTAAGGAATGAATTTTACAGCTACCCAAGTTATATTTCATGTATATAACTTGTGTTAGGACAGTTTACACTAGCCAATTTTAAAAAAAAAAGCATAAACTGTTCCAACCCATGTTATACCAGTATCACTTGGGAAGCTTTTAAAATTGGTCCTTATAATTTAATTTTCCATCATCAAATTAAGAGACAAAGACAATTTCTCCAATAATATGTTTTAAATGTAAGTCATTATGACATAGGCAACACAGATTATACAATATAAATTATTTTTTTATCCAATTAAATGATGTGTTATGAAAGAAATTAAATTATAAAATAGCAAAAGTTAAAACAGACAAGTCATCAATTTAAAACCAATATTAACCAGTTAAGCCCTCCCTAGGACCTTATTCATGGACCAAGGGGTTGTAAATTTCAAATTTTGATAAAAAGTTCATTCCCGTCATGCACACAGTTTGCCTGCTATCCATGAGTAATAAAATAGATTAGTAAGATATAATGCATTTTCCATATAAGACAAACTAAGCCCACACTTGTATGTGTAGAGTCTAAATCTATGAATTTCACAATTCACATGAATTAAGAAATTCATAATCTTTGCTCCCCCTTGGCCATGGGTCATTCTACTTGACTGTAGAGAATAAGCATGGACGACATGATACATACCTGGAACCCTCCTTTTACTTGACCGTTTACGTTGGTCCTCCTCAGCTGACATTTGAAGAAAGCTAGACTTCCTTCCTGTCGTGAAGTCTTTGTTGAGCAGAATCGTTTGAACAATTTCTAAAAGTAAAAATTGTTACATTCATAATAAATGTTATTTAAATACCACAACAGACATATTTTTCTCTTCACATATACTTTAAACAGCAGTATAACTTACATCAAGAAAATCCTGTTCTACATGAAACAGCTCTTCTATAACAGGATCAAAAATCTCCATTCTTTCCGTTGCAGTGTGAGCACCAGCAAGAAGATCTTTAGCTCCACTCATCCTTACTCTAACAAGTTGATCCCCTCCAAGTATTATTTTAGCTGTCTCAAAGTCATCTCCTGTCAAGCAATAAAATGTATTTAGATAAAGAATGCTGACCTAAAAAATAATGTCTATTTAGTGATAAGCATGTTTTCTAAACCTTATTATAAAATTTAACCATGCTTGTACTTTTGCATTCCAGGAAAATGTCAATTACAAGCAATTCTAAAAATTATTATATTACATTTTTTTTCGTTGACATGCTGAATATTTACTTAGTGGTAGTTAATTTTTACATGTACTTAAAACATTTAACAAAACTGTAAACAGTCTATTAAGTGTAATACTGCAATCAATACAATGAACAAATTAACTCATATAACAGTTTCTAGAAAAGTGGGTCTCAGTTTCTAGTAAACATTAATTTAAATGGTCTTAGTAATTATCCTTTGAAACAGTAACAAACATATGAAAAAAAATAAATTAAAAACAAAATTAACAATTTGTTTTACTTTTTCCGGCTTTTTCATAAGAATTCACTAACTCTCTACTGAGTTCATTGAGAACCTCAATGCACCCATCATAATATTTAGGGTCTTGAAGAATTATCTGAAAAAGTTCTTACTCAAATCAATATGAAAAATATAATGGCTTACTGCATGTTTACCTTTACACTATTACAGGCAATACTAGTACATTACATTTAAAAAGTACAATTTTTTTTTCATGACAAAGTGGAATATATTAAAAAATTGAAAATCTTTAAAAACTACCTTAAGGGGAAATATCTGTGACTTGCTTGACATCTGCTGACTATAAGGATGAGGGATATGTGAAGGAATGCAGGGTTGCATCCATTTCATAGATTTGAAATGCTTCACTAAGGTACGGCCAACCTTGAACATAAATAGAAATAGAAACAAATGTATATCTACCATGTGTACCTCTACCATTATTCAAAAGGAAATTATTATAATTTTTGTATTAATAGAATAGTTACATTGAATAACAAAGATGAGAGACAAATTCCCCCCCCCCCTTTTTTACTTTTGATATCTGAATTAAACACAGTTACACTGGATTTAAAATTACATACATACCATATAACCATACATTTCCTTCAATTTGCTTTCTTCTTCCGCACTGAGGTAAAATACATCAAAATTAATTTCCTCTGGAACTGAAGAAGTGATGCATTGCTCAAGATCCCTCAAATCTACACGATCAGGGTAGTAAGTAGAGGCTGTGTAGTGGTAATGCTTATTACCCCCAGTGAGTCTAACATCTCTTGCTATGGTCATTCCATCGATATTATCAACTGTCACTTTTCCTCCTATTCCCAACTGAATACTGCGAACAATACCCTCTGTGTTCAAATCTCCCATTTTGTCCAGAAATGTGTATTTACTGTCTGCTGAAAGGGTTATACCTGTCTTGTTAAAAATGTCTAATAGATCATTACCTGCATGGAAGCGAAGGGCAATACAGGTGTTGATCTTCTGCATTGCACACAGATCTTTATTTCTCTTATTCATGGCCATAGCATACATCATAGCAATTGTGGAATTGCCAGTAGCAGTTTTCTGTTGATCAGCATGTAATGGGGATGTTAATGTCTGAAAAACTCTAAAAACAAATGGGAAACAGTTTTGAAATTCAAGCAGACATTTATGCAAAATATCCTCTGATTTTAAGGGAGATGGATGTTGTAATGTTCTGAGGACTGATGGACCTGGTTGAATGTTCAACGAACATAAATTATCAGCAATGACTTCAGTTTCTAGTAAAATCAATTTCTGAATTTCAGACAGTAGTACTTTGTTTTTGAAAACATCATCTGCAGAACAGCATTGACTCTGGTTGGTTTTGTCGTCTTTCTTGCAGAAGAGCTCTTGTTTTGCCTTAACTGAATTCAGGTGTGTTGTATCCAATGGTGATGCAAGACTACCATAGTTATGATCTGTATGACACATCTGAGATTTATTTGTGTCAATTGGTACATCTGTTTCAAGTTCCAAAAACTGAAGTTTCTTTTTCTTTTTAGAGTGGGTTTTCCTCATAGATACATTCTCTTTATTGTTCACATCATCTGTATTTTCTTTTTTGGTAGAACTAGGTGTCAAGGTAGGTGTCTGAGAAAATGCCATTCGTTTTGTTGAACATGTCGAGGTAGATTTTCTGTTGATAGCTTCCTTCAATATATTTTGAAAATGTACACAGTTTTCTAGTTGTCTTTTGCAAGATAAACATATCTTGCAATCCTGGAATGAAATGGAATGAAATGTGATGTCTAAACACTTCTTTATATTCTGTAAAACAGCATTGTTCTCTGGGAGTGGGAGGGCTACATTTGTAATTATATTCCTTAACTTCCCTGAGGGGGAGCGAAAGCAGATAAAGCAATGCGGTTCCAGTGACTGTCCTCTAAAAATTGTCTTCAGAGGTGTGTCAGTATTTCTTGAATCACCCATAATTATATCTGTGGATTAATAAAAGTTAAGATCAGTGATTGTCTCTCACCTTATATAAAAAGTACAGAAAAAATTTCAATATGTATTACACATACCAACCTGTAAATGGATTTTGCTGACATTATCTGATACATGTATATGTTTTCCACCTACAATGCAATTGATTTTATTAATCAGTATTACAAAAGTAAAACTTAAGTAGCAAAAGCAGAAGCATGGCAAAAGTGCACACTAATATTCCCATACAAATGCCAATGGTTGCATAACTTCTCGGCTGCATTTCCTTGACAGCGATAACGAAACTAATTTAGAGGAAATTCGAAATGAATACCCCATTAAGGGCCCATTTACAGTTCGAATTGAAAAAAACAAGATTTTTGTGACTCTTTCTGATCAACATCTAATATACACGTTAAAAAGTATAATTTCAAAGATGTTAATCATCGTTATTAAAGAATATTTACCTGTGTTGCTGATACCACGGTCTTCTCGTAAAAAGTAGTTCGCGAGAATTTGGGAGAGAAACGTATCCCATAATGCCTGCCTGGAAGAGTTTGGTTTGGTACAAACGAACTCTGGCGGAAGTTTGCCTTCAAATACGTATATTGCGAAATCGGTCGAGGATTGCCGAGTAATCCTTCTACGCATCATTGCGCATTTCCGGAAATTTCCGAATGAGTTCAATAAAACGATAAACAATCCGGAACATTTTTACAAACGTAGTGAACTCGGGGTGTACAAACACGCCGAGAAAGTTATGTTGAGGGCCGCAGACGCTATAATATTAGACGAAAACTTTGGCCCGAAAGAGGAAGAAGAAAAAGAGAAAATGCCTGCGTTACATAGTACAAATCTGTAAGTAAATATTCATATAAATATTGACTATTGTCTGAAAACAAGTCGGCCATCTTTTTGTTGTTGAGATAGAGGTCAAAGTCATATGATTCTACTATCGATCATTAGAAACATTAAGAAAATATCGTACTAGGGAACAGTTTCAGAAATTATCCAGAAAGAATCAAATTCTGAAGGAATAAATTGTACTCTTTGTAAAAACAATGCGTGATCCATGCATGCACAACGCCATGACGTAACAGTCAGCTGATTAAGGCATACATACATGTATCTAAATCCAATCAATATCTACATGATATATATTAAGACTAAATTAAATTAATTGGATCATTGTGTGTGTCACATAACCTACAAACTATACAATACATTTATTAAATATTTATTGAATATAGATAAAATATGGAACGCCGTCACTGCCTTATAGCAGAACACTAATATTGCATTATGTCAGCCTTCCATTACATTATGTCAACTCTTTATGACATTAACCCACATTACTATTCCATTGTGTCAACCTTCCGTTACATGATGTCAACTCTTTATGACATTAACCCACATTACTATTCCATTGTGTCAACCTTCCGTTACGTGATGTCAACTCTTTATGACATTAACCCACATTACTATTCCATTGTGTCAACCTTCCGTTACGTGATGTCAACTCTTTATGACATTAACCCACACTACTATTGTATTGTGTCAACCTTCCGTTACATGATGTCAACTCTTTATGACATTAACCCACATTACTATTGCATTGTGTCAACCTTGCATTACATGATGTCAACTCTTTATGGCATTAACCCACACTACTATTGCATCATGTTAACTTTCCTTTACATTATGTCAACTCTTTATGACATTTACACATAGTACAATTATATTTCGTCAACTTGCATTTCGTTTTGTTTACTTTTCATGACAATCTTAGTTTTTATTAACTGATGTGAAAAGCCCATGCCATACTGTGCGCACTCTTCTACATTATGTCGATTCACTATTACGTTATGCGAACACGGGTATCCTCGGCCTTTATATGAGCATAGCGTTATTTCCGCGTTCCGCAAACACAAAAAGGCGGGAGAGAAAACATTCTCAGCGATTTGGGAATGACATCTTTAAATGAAAACTTTAAGCGACAAATGATTGACAATCTTGAAACGTGCAAAGCCTTAACACTGCGACTGTGAATTAAAGTCACGTCGAAATTCAAGGGTGTTTACTTTAATCTCATAATTAAATAAATCAAATATTAGGAGTCGTGCAGCAATCATTTTTTAGGTCACCTGAGTAAACTCAGGTGACCTATTGCTATCTGTTTTCGTCCGTCGTCGTTCGTCGTACGTCGTTCGTAAACTTTTGAACATTTTCAGCTTCTTCTCTGCAACCACTGAACCAATTTCAACCAAATTTGGCACAAAGCATCTATGGGTGAAGGGGAACAAAAATTGTGAATTTCATGATCCCTGCCCCCCTGGGGCCTGAGGGGTGGGGCCAAAACCACTACAATTAATGCAATCTTTAAAAATCTTCTTCTTTACTCCTGGACATCAAGCAGTCAAACTGTTTGCATGATTGTAATAAGCATTGAGTCCTCTACCAAAATTGTGAAATTCATGGCCCTGGGGTCAGGGGTTCTAGTGCTAGGGCAGGGCTAAATAAGTAGGTAGTGATAATGCATTATTTCTTTGAAAATCTTCTTCTCTGCTCCTGGGTATTAAATAAACCAACTAAGTAGTTAGTTATGATGAGCAAGAGTGCTTCTACCAAAATTGTGAATTTTATGGCCCCAGGGTCAGGGGTTCTGGTGTTAGGGCAGGGCTCTATTGATTATATACAGTGAAAATACATGATTTCTTTGAAAATCTTCTTCTCTGCCCCTGGGTATTAAATAAACTAACTAAGTGCATAGTTATGATGAGCAAGAGTGCCTCTAACAAAATTGTGAATTTTATGGTCCCAGGGTCAGGGGTTCTGGTGGGGGGGGGGGGCTTTATAGATTATATAGTAAAAATACATGAATTCTTTGAAAATCTTCTTCTCTGCTCCTAGATATTAAATAAATTAACTAAGTGCATAGTTATGATGAGCATGAGTGCCTCTATCAAAATTGTGAATTTTATGGCCCCAGGGTCAAGGGTTCTGGTGGGGGGGGGGCTCTATAGATTATATAGTAAAAATTCATGAATTCTTTGAAAATCTTCTTCTCTGCTCCTAGATATTTATAAATAAATTAACTAAGTGCATAGTTATGATTAGCATGAGTGCCTCTACCAAAATTGTGAATTTTATGGCCCCAGGGCAAAGAGTTCTGGTGTTAGGGGGGGGGGGGCTCTATTGATTATATAGTGAAAATACACGAATTCTTTGAAAATCTTCTTCTATGCTCCTAGGTATTAAATAAACTAACTAAGTGCATAGTTATGATGAGCAAGAGTGCCTCTACAAAAATTGTGAATAATTTTATGGTCCCTGGGTCAAGGCTTCTGGTGTTGGGGGGGGGGGGGGCTCTATAGATTATATTGTAAAAATACATGAATTCTTTGAAAATCTTCTTCTCTGCTCCTAGATATTAAATAAACTAACAAAGTGCATAGTTAAGATGAGCAAGAGTGCCTCTACAAAAAATGGGGATTTTATGGTCCCAGGGTCAGGGGTTCTGGTGTTAGGGCGGGGCTGTATTGATTATATAGTAAAAATACATGATTTTTTTTAAATCTTCTTCTCTGCTCCTAGGTATTAAATAAACTAACTAAGTACATAGTTATGATGAGCAGGAGTGCCTCTACCAAAATTGTGAATTTTATGGTCCCAGGGTCAGGGGTTCTGGGGGGGGAGGGGGCTCTATTGATTATATAGTGAATATACATTAAATCTTTGAAAATTTTCTTTTTTGTCTCTGGGTATGAAGCAGATGAACTACCTAAATAGTTATGATGAGCAAGGGCCCTAATCTTGCAAAGTTTTGAATTTCAAGGCCCCAGGGTCAGGGGTGGGGGTGGGGCTCTACTTATATACTGAAAATGAATTAATTGTTTGAAATCTGCTCCTTTGTATTTATAAAACATTTATTTATTTTTTGATAGACAATTTTAACGGTGCCTTTTTAAAATTTGTGCTATGTGTGGACCTAGGGTCAGGGGTTTATTTCACAGTGTTAGGGGCATTACTGATTATTGCTGAATATTACTGATTAGTTGGAATGCATTTTTTCCCCCTACCTTGCGTATGGGTATCAGTACCCTTGCGAGGTGATTATGAATAATTCATGAATTTCCTTGAATTTTTCATGAATTTTATTCATGAAATGTTCATGAAACGTTCATGAAGATCCTATGAACTTATTATTGGGCATATTTAAATCAATAAACCAAGCTAAGCAACTGCTAAGTGTATTGTTATGATGATCAATGGTGCCTCTTTCAAAATTGTGAATGCCATATAGCATCTGGCTTAAAACATGAATCAAATTCAATAACTGGAAAGTTGTTGCAGAATGCTCAGGTGACCTATAAGGCCCGTGGGCCTCTTGTTTCTCTTTATTTTGAATTTTTTTTTAGATAAAAGTCTTAAACTTTGTAGGACATTGCATTCGTTTCACAATAAGCTTAGCTGAATTAAGTTGAAAACTTTTTTCTATAAAACTATAAAGCCTGAGAGCTTCTCCGCTTTCCCCCTTGGTCTCCAACCATATACCGCCCCCTTCCTTGTTCAAGATTCCCATATCCGCCACTAATATGTGCCCATGCATGCTTACTAAGGCATATTCAATTGATTTAGATGAGCGACTGGTAGATTTTTGTAATAGAATTCTGGCCCTGGAATGATAAAAAAAAATTACTAACTCCAGTGACGTAGTATCTTTTTTTGAAAGAGGCGGTCAGCCAGAAAAAAAATCATTTAACCGAAAAAACTTGACAAGCCAAGAAAAAAAATGTCCAAGCCCGGAAATCCTATTTCGGGGAGAGGGGTCCAACTTCGATCAGTCCTATTTTTTTCCAGATATATTACATTACCCTTAGTGGATTATACTTCAACAAAAAGTGGGGGTGGGGGCTGTACTGTTTCAATGAACATTGCATTTTCTATAGTAAAGTTAAGTCTGGGAAAAGAGGGGGGTTGATATTATGTGCCTGTAATTTGTCCTAATCAATCAGGACCCCCCCCACCTTCTTACCAGTCATTAAAACACTGTCGTCAACATTCATTATATACTAGATATACATGTACAGCTTTGAGATAATGTAAATGTTTTTTAACATCAGGTAATGAACTTTTGGAATCAACATGATAAACAGTTAACACAATATAAAGATATTTTTTAATCACATAAGAAAGAGTTGACATAACGTTATTATATATTCACATCACGGGATGGAGTTTTGACATAATGTAATAAAGTATTGATATAATATAAAGATATGTTCACATTATGTTATACACTTTTAACACCACGTAATAAAGCACTGACATAAAGGTAAGATGTGTTCACCTCACATCATGATGCCATCGCCGTAAAATAGAGATAAATTCATATCACGTAATAATGCTTTGATATAATAGAAATATACACTCTCAAAAAGGAATGGGCTTTTGACTTCATGTACAGTGGACCTTCAGATATCCGGACGCCAGATATCCGGATGCTTCAGTATCCGGACGCTATTTCATCGGAACAGAATTTTAAAATGTTATCATGTCTTGTTTAACTGGTGATTCAGGTATCCAGACGCTTCACATATCCGGACAAATTGACTGGGAACCAAAGCGTCCGGATAAATGAGGCTCCACTGTAATGATAAGTTTAATTATAAAACGCAATTTACTTGACGTAATACAATTTCGACCTCACATATTAAAGAAATGAAATGATGTAAAGAAAAATTCATTTCACACAATACAGTTTTAACACAATGTAAACACATTATCACTTCACGTAATGAATTTTTTACTTCAAGTTATGGAGTGCTGACATAATGAAAGGATGTATTTACTTCATGTAATGCAGCATTGACATGATGTTAAGATATATTTACATCATCTCATAACAAATGGACATAACGTAAAGATATGTTCACATCACGTAATGGTAAATTGACATAATAAATGCATAGTTGTATGCTATAAGGCAGTGATGGCGTTCCATATAAAAATCTAAAATATAAACATGTAGGTCATCGACCTAGAAATCAATATGGTCTGATGATAAAGGAAGATACTGATAAGCTTGGTACATACAGTGATGAAATAAGGACATACACATATAACATGTATAATAAGAGCTGATATGTCCATCAGAATTTTTTTCCTAGAGAGATACAGTTATTGATCTATGTTAAATGTAAATCCACATGAAATTAAAACCTACGATATGGTTGATTTTCCCTTTGTAAAATTAGCCCTTGCATGAAAACTGAACTGTGGTAAAACTCATTTGCAGGGCATTTGACAAGTTTATATTGACAGATAATTATATGATGCACATTAAACAATTATTGCTTTTACCTGTTTACCGTCAACTTTTACCAAAATATATCATTTTGTACTGCAAAAGACTCGAGAGTAGTGCCGCTTGGTGCAGGGTTTCAGTCCTGCTCCTGATGTTTCCCACTCCATAAACGAGTCATTTTTAGATCTGATTTACATTCAGTTTCAATGACTTACTTTCACTTTCTCTTTTCAGCATCCCCAGTAAGCAGTATTGTATATTGCTTCATGCAGGGCCTCATGTTTCAGTTTCACTTTGACGTACTTTCACTTTCTCTTTTCAGTGTCCACAGTAAGAAGTATTGTATATCACTCGGTGCAGGGCCTCGGTCCTGCTCCTGATGATCACCACATCGTCAATGCAGCAGTTTCACTTTGACTTACTTTCACTTTCTCTTTTCAGCGTCCCCAGTAAGCGGTATTGTATATCGCTCGGTGCAGGGCCTCGGTCGTGTTCCTGATGTTTTAGTTTCAGTTTCACTTCGACTTACTTTCACTTTCTCTTTTCAGCGTCCCCAGTAAGCGGTATTGTATATCGCTCGGTGCAGGGCCTCGGTCGTGCTCCTGATGTTCCCCACGCCGTCAACGTGTCATTCGTGACAGAGGGCAGCGGCGTGGGGGTTTTAACAGAGCCCCCTGTCAGTGCTAAAAGCCTGTTTATTAAGGAAAACAACCGCAATGCACAGGTATGTACTATTTACAGGTGTGCTATCAATCTCTACCACTTTATACCTCTGTCAACGTACAGAAAGCGAAGACAAGTTGTTGCCAACAAATTAATATGAACACCCTTGTTAATTATGCAAAAATTAAATGGCTAAAAATTCTGCTTATACGGTATATAATTGTGTATCCATTTTGGCCCCTAATGCAAAAAGCAGTCTTTGCTAATTCAAGTAAAATGAGAAATTCTTGCACAAAAATAAGAAATTAAAAAAATGTGTTATAGGTAAATCAAACCTATGCTTAATTGCTTAATCAATTGAAAATTAATGTCTACCAGTCTGAGATATCATACTCCTAAATATAATACATTTAATCTATCATATGCTTTAATGGTTGTTGTTGATTTGTAGGTTGACAACAGAAGCATTTTAGCAGAAGCTCACATGTCTACCAATCTGAGCTTTACTGTGCATTTGTCTGGAGGTCATAAGGTCACCTGGGAGACCATACTGACTCGCGGAAACCTGTACGTGGAAGTTCCCAACGGAATTCTCCCGGAAGGCTCGAAGGAAAGGTAGGGGGATATGAAGCATGAATATTGCTGGGTTCAGTAAAAACAGGGTTACAAATGCAGTGTTTTCCTTTTATTTCAAAATAAGTGATAGACAGCCTGGTCAAAAGTTTGAAAATACTGTCTGAAAGACAAAGTTTAATATTCTGGACAAAGTTCTGTCAGATCAGATACAAGTACCTTACTTAGTGGCAGAGAAAGGAAAATGAATAACTGCACCAAAATCCACTACATTTATATTTTCAACAGCATTCAATCTCGCAAGTTTTGTTTTTATTCACTTTGGGGCCTTCCTATAAAGTTGAAACATCACCACAATTAAGGATTAAGAAAGCATTAATTATTCTTCATATGTTCAAAATGAAGTATAATTGAATTATTTATTTATTCACAGCTTGATCACACTTTTGGAGTATGCAGAGGAGAAGCTTTGCTGTGACCATGTAATCCTCTGTTTCTGCAAGAGCAGGAATGATCGAGGTAACTTTTTGCTCTTCTTGAATTGTGTAATGTGTTGAAATTATTAATACCAAAAAAATATATATGTATACTGGCATGCACAGTTGAACTGTGATATGATTACCATGACAATCAATGTCCTCAACACTACAATGCATTATAATCTCAAAGCAAGTTTCAAGTCCCAACTTTTTTCCTATGTATTTTACCTTCAGTATCTCAAACTCAGGGACTTATTTTGAATTTAGTTCCTTGGAATCACTGAGTAAAAGATAACTGTGTCATGATGTTAGGCTGTTTTGAAAATAAAACACATAAAGCCATCATTAGATTTTTGTTTGATGTACTCTGTCCCAATTTTTCAAGGTGGGTGGATAGGTATTTTTTGTTTTTCTTTTGGTATCTGAGTGATAATGGTCATAAAAAATCTGTAGAGGTATATAGAGAAATTGATGTTTTTATTATAATCCGTGCAAGACAGCTGATTGAACATTTATTGTTTTAAAAAAGTTCAATGGAAAAAAAAAAAAACTTAGATATTGTTGTCAGTACTAACAAGAATAGATATGGGTTACCCCATATCCAAAGATATTCGACTGTTAGGTTTAATATGTTTAACAGTGTTTATAATGACGTTAATAAAAAAAAAAACTGCACTGTCTAATTATGGAACTGTTGTAAATATCGTGATTCCATAGCATTACGGAGTCTCCTAACAAACAGTACACATAGGCCTACATGTACCTATAGCCTTGGTCTACACACGTGCAATGGAGCTGTCACACGCATCCAGCGAGATCACACGTTTTGTTTTGGAGAAGTTACGGTGTCAGACAAAACTTTTCTGTTTCCATTAGATCATATAAATACGAATTCTGATTAATAAAAATTATACAATCCCTGTTGAACTTTATATAGTTTGTTCTAACATTTGCATCTGCAACAACTTGTGTTTAAAATGGCCGGGTTTGAAATTATTAATACAAAAAAAATATATAACTGAAAACATGGAAAACCTTTTTTGTTTTGAAAATAACTGAAATATACTAATATATTTGTCGCAGAAATTACTTACATTATTCAAGTTCTATATATAATGGTATGCTGAACTTCAACACGAACCCGAATCTCCAACCCATGCAGTTCTCGTTTTGCCACACATACCCTACAGTTTACGAAGTGTACACACAAGCAGGCCAGGGATTGAAAATTCCGTCATTTAATAATACACACACACAGAATGATTAATTTTTTCTTTAAGAACAAATTGTATGATAATTAACGGACTATAAACATGTACTTAATACAATTGTTGATATAGTATTATCAATTCATTGGTGAAAAGATATGAACTTTGAAGAATGACCTAATTATTCTCTGTTATCAAACACGTAAAAAAAAAGGCTGAGGAGGGAGCGAGCGTAGGAATATTGATATTTTTTATTTGCATTTCGGGGGGAAAGTGACTTTCTAATGATATTTTGACGTTATTTTCGATTTCTTTAACGTATGACATACACAACTTTACTCTTATCATGAACAATAATGTTGTAGAGGTATATCATGATGGAATTATTTTTTATTATAATGTGTGAGCTGCCGCTGAAAACAGTTATATATCTTGCAAAGATAGTATGCATTGATCGAATATATAGAAAAAAAAAAAAGATGATTGGGTAGGGGCAGTCTGAGTACACCAAACAAATGATTTTTTTTATTGTCAGACGAATTATAATGTATGTATATGTTTTTGATGAGATAAATATCTGCTGGAAATTACAAATTCCTTGTTTGACACAAACATGACAAAACTGCATGTTACATGTATGTTCATTTCTGATAAGAACAAAAACCTCTTGTTTTTAACATTTCATGTGGTCATATGATTTGTAAACTACCAGTATGTCAGGATGATAAAAAATTCATCTGTATTTAAAACACAAATATAAATTATATCTATTGATAGTAGTTAACAGATTTTTTTAGCATGATTAAACTGCATATTATGACCGTTTCTGTTTTATAAAGAACAATAACTAATCCCGGATTTATATGGATTTCAGCCTCCTTGATCCGAACTTTCATGTTCATGGGTTTCGCGGTGGCCTGCCCTGGTGACCCCATCGTTCCCATGGTACCCGAGGTCATGTACATGGTGTACAAGATTGACCTTGACGACGATGATGACTAGCTTTTCCTTAACGAACATGGCTTTTAGTATTATGGGCCACTTTCTCTTGATAATGATTTCTTTTCTTTATTTTGATTACAAAAACTTTTTTTTTAAATAGTTGGTAGATCTTTTTTTGATCACTATTGATTTCTTTTCAATTATTTTAGGGGGAAAACATTGATATGAAAAAAGGTATTTTTGAAAGTTATGTGCACTGATTGAGTAAAGAACAAAGTCTGTCGAGTTGCCATTTTTTCTAAAAAACTTTTTATGTTGTGTATAGAATTTTTCCAACAATTGCCTTTTTGGGTTTGTTTTGTGATGAACAAGTTTGTATTGTACATACTTTGAACAAGTAGTCAACGTCAATTGATCAAATTCCACCTTGTTGACTTTTTTGCACATTTAAATTACCAATAACGTCAATCAACAATGAAAGAATTTTAAGTTCATTTAGATTTTCACACTTTTTTTCTTCTTTACTTTAAATAAAAATTTCTTGCGTCCTCTGTCATGAATAGACATGTAGATATGTGTTTAAAAAAATTTAAAAATAAAAAAAAAATGTAAAAAACTGAAAAAAAAAGAAAAAAAAATCTTTGTACTATGTAACGCAGGCTTTTTCGTTTACTTTTTAATCTATTGAAAAAATTTCATTGTACATATTTTTTTGTGTAGAAACATTTTTGCATGAAAATGCAATGGACCATTATTCATTACTTTTTAAAAACATGTTTTTGATCATAAATTGAGAAAACTTGAGCATGTTGAGCTAAATACATTTTATTTTTGTTTCCCAGCACTATGTTTTCCTATGTTTATGAGATTTTTCAAATTCTTTTTGCATACATTTGGAGTGTTTTTTTTTCTTCTTTTGAGATTTCATCTGTTATTTAGAGGTACTGGTTCATGTTGTTATAAATTTACCTCATATTTTCATTTGTTTGACTTCTTTTAATGTTGGTTTGCAAAAATGTTTCTATATAAATTTTGTTGTAAAATAAAGAACAATGAGAAAAAAATGTTTTTCTTATCTACTTCAGTTGCAGATCAAAGAGTTTTGAAAGGTGGAGGGGGGGGGGGGGGCAATTTGAGGTAGGGGTAGGGGCCCACAGCCACACCAAAGAAAATTGATTTATTAATAAATAATTTGGACACAAATTATTGCAGCAGCCCCCCACCCCCACCCCACCCCCCTTCTAAATCTGCCAGTGTACTGAGACTGTAGGGAAAAAAAGTTGTGTTTTGATCTGCAAATTAACGATTGAAATCTATGGAGCTAATATATTATGAAAAGGATAAGCCCAGAAAGTTCCCAGGGGTGAAAAGAGGGGGCTCCCTCTTTACATGATAATGCTTACCTGAGCTTAAAATTGAAGTGAGAATTTGATCCCATTTTTCAGCATCTGTTTGCCAGCCCCACTGAAAACTTTTAATATTTTGCAATCTCCTTTAAAAAATCATAAAGCCAATTTTTACCAAACTTGTCACAGAATGTCTTTAGTTGACGTGAATTGTCGGGTTTGCATGCTCGTGCTACGTACACCTGATGAATTGAAAATAGATGAAAACATTGGATTCCATTTTAAAATCTAACCAAGAATGACTGGGCCTGAAAAAAAGAGGCTTAAATATGAAAGCTTTCTGACAATGTACATTTAGGTACAGTGTATGTTACATTGGCTGTATGGACAATGTAAATGCAAGAATTTTCATGGTTACATGTACTTCAAAATCTTCAAAAAGTTATCTGATTCTGAAGGATAGCAGGGTTATGGTATAATTATTAATATTAATTTATTAAGACACATCCCTACAAGTAAAGCCTCAGTTAACGTCCCTACAATCCCTATATAAAGCTCAGTGCCAATTCAAAAGTATTTCGCCATGAATCTCTTAGCATGCTGGAGTAGCAACCTTGGGTACTGTAGAATCAAGTTTGTTCAAATCATGGCCTCTAGGGCTTTAGGATGGGACCATTAAAAAAGAAAGTTTTTAACATGGTAATGAACAGGGATAATTTATCAAATCATCCTCATCTAATTCAAAGAACAACCAATTTAAACCAAGATGACTCGGGTTTGAGTTTTTCATACGATGCTTTTTTTTCAAATCCAAGCAGACTGCTATTAACATTCACGTGTGTCTGAAATACAGTTATATATACAAGTATATGCTCGTTATGGAGTAGCTATTTTTTGATGATACACTTATAGGCTTAGGCGTCTTTTAAAATTTCCATTTAAGAAAACCCTACAAACCAATTTATGATGACAAACTGGTCATGATCAGCTATTAAAACTTTTTAAAGATACCATATCGATTAAAATTTAGTGTTGTAATGGATATGTACATAAAACTACATTAAACCATTCATTTTTGATCAATATTTCATGCATTACCGTAAATAAAGTAAAAACAACCCAAAAGTAAATTTATTTTTTAATAGAATTCTTCATTACAGATAATTCATTAACAATAAATACTCTTGAACACATTAATAAAATACACAACATTTAAAAATAAAAGCACTTATTTGAAATAAAAATAAAGTTTGATCATGATGAGAAGTAACTTTCCTGTCTATTTTTAATAACAGGAAATTTCATCAGATGAAGCACTAAAAAAATGACAAAGAGTTGTTTTTGTGTCACAGTAGTAAGTCTGTGGTTTAAAAATATACAATCATTCCATCATGTTCACAATTTCCTATCATATACTCGGAATTTATTTTATCTTCGTGAAACAGAAAGCTTTAAAACTGACAGTTACAATCGTTGACAGAATGCCAGAATTTTACTTCCAAAAAAAGTACATTTGACCTACTTAACTTATTTTGTTCACTTCAGTTTAAAAATAGACAATTCAAGGGTGCATAAATTTAAAGTCCTTGTACGTTATCTAAGATAATGTAAAGTGCATACACAGGGTGTACATGGTATGTTTGCATACATGCAGTGTATCTACAAGAGGACAAAATTGAGGTCGCTTGAATTGATAAAAGCTTTTCCTATGCGTTAAGGGCTTATCTCTACAACTTATGGTGAATGATTTTAAATCTCTGTTAAAACTGAAATCAGAAGTTATTTTTTACTCAGTTTAAAATTGTGAAGTACCTCATAGGTTTTCATTTTGTTGCCTTTCCATACTTACAATAAAAATGTGTTTGTTAGCATGTATAATACATGTAGTGAATCAACAATGAAGACAACACTTCCTGAACACAAATGGTGACAAATATTAATGATATCTATTTTGTCATTTTATTCATTTACAAAGGTTAAAAGTCTTATTACATTTTTCACTCATCAGATTTTGAGGTTTCAGATACATGTACTCTTGACTGCTAATTAATTCACATTGATTAACATGTAGTGACTGGGTGTTCAGAAAATAAATTAAATGCCCGGGTTGATTCAATAAAGAAATGGAACCTGGATGTAATAATACATGAGTGAAAAACAATGAAGACAACACTTCCTGAACACAAATGGTGACAAATATTAAAGATATCTACTTTAATTTGACATTTTATTCATTTACAAAGGTTAAAAATCTTATTACGTTTTTGACTCACTCATCAGATTTTGAGGTTTCAGATACATGTACTCTTGACTGCTAATTAATTCACATTGATTAACATGTAGTGACTGGGTGTTCAGAAAAGAAATTAAATGCCAAAAAGAAAATGAAAGAAATGGTACAAAGTCATGTCAAAGATGAAAACAATAAGTGCATTCACTTCAGAAATTTTTTTGATATTCTTAGCAGTCACATTTTATATACCTTCAATGGCATAAGCACGTTTAAAGGTAGATAACTCCACCTGGCTTCAAAAATACAAAAGAATGCAGACTGCAGAGTATGTTCACCTTTCTTTCAAAATATTTTTGATAATCAAAATAAATACTTTCATAATAAAGACTGGTCCAATTTCTAAACAAGTAAATTATCAGGTAAAAATTTTATTCAAGAATTTTCTATTTACATTGTATAGTGACATTTGCAATCTATTTAAAATGGTGTACCTGTACTGCAATATTTTGTGATATTATACTTTCATGTAAATTAGTTGAATCTGATTGGTCGAGAAACATTTGTTAAAAAACACTAGTACCCGCTGAATAATGAAGCCACGCCCTCCAGCGTAGCAACAGTCAACATTGCTTGGTATTCCAAAGAATAGCGACTGCGCGGAATTTATGCGCGCACGGTTCACCGTTATATGTATTTGTTTAAATCATTCAGTATAATATAATAAATATAGCATGTAGTTGAGTGTAACATTGAAAATTTTCATGAAACCACTGATCAACCTCGGCTGCGCCTCGGTTGACAATGGTTTAATGGGGTGAAAATTTTCAATGTTACACTCAACTACATGCAATATTTATATATTAAATACATTACATTAGTATTACTAAGGTTACCAATTTATCAGTCTACATGTTTAGGCCTAAGGGGGGGGGGGTACATGTATCCCATGGCTTGAAAAAAGATAACTATACTTTCTCATCAACAACTGAATCAACACCAATAACAAAGCTGATCAATGAACACAGCAATTTATACGAATGTATGTGTATTAATTCCTTCAAGATCAATCAGACAAACATCATACACTGTCTGTATGTGACTCTCATACATGTAATTTCTTTTCTCTGTGTTTCCACAAATTTACTCTGGAATTTGACATGCATAAAACTAAGGAAAGTCATCTTAAATTTGAATTTCTATACTACATTGACTAGGGATATTTGAAATTTCTCATGAGAATTTTGTTAGACACATAGTTCTCAGTAAAAAAACATTTAAAAAAGAGGGTTTAAAAATTCATTATTAAAATAGATTAAAATGAATTTATGTTACTTTTTAATGAACTTTTTTCTTTAATATTAAAAATTAAAAGGTCACTGAAAAAGTATGGCTATATAAAAATTCAAAAAAAAACATCAGATAATAATTATATTTGTACTATATAGGACAATGAAGATCATGTGTATCTGCAATGGGATCTTAGGCTATACAGGGGACATAGCTCTGGTGAGATCTGTTGACTCTGGATACGAGGACTGTTATGGGTGTTTTTCTCTCTGAAACAGAGACATGAAATGAAAAGAATTTTGTAAATTAGTGACTCAGCAAGTATGCATTCAGATTTCCAACATGTATTTCTTTTCCAA